TGATGATGAGCATGCTGTTGGGTCCTCTTTTGGATGATGTTTGTGTAACACTGATGTTCATCTTGAAAACATTTACAAGAGCATGTTGTTGTTTGTTTTGTATTTTTTGGGAAGTAAAACGATATAGCCACAAGAAACTACTGAACTTTTGTTATATTGTATTGCCATTGGTCATTGGATCAGATGGCTGTGGGGGAGCACAGAGACCTCAACATGTTACTGCTTGCTGTTCATTCGTTCATAAATGGTGACACAAAACATTTATGTCGACATGTAATTCGAGGTGTTCCTTTTGACTTGAATTGTGTTGGAGTATTTTGTTTGGAGTGTTGTAGTTTTCTCCCCTCCCCATCCCCTACACAACATTAAGCTGTACTTTTATCCCCAATGCCCACATAGTCCAAGAGTTTTTCTTTACATTGCGTTTTTTCACTGGTTTTCCATTCCTTTTTTCCTCCACAGACTTGGTGTCTATCTGCAGCACTTTTGGCCCGTTTTTTTCTTTGTGCTCCTTGGCTTGCATGCCATGTGTGTTGTCAAATACCTCTTGAACATGGTTGTTTGGCTAATGCGATATGTTGCTGTCGTCCACAAAGCGTGCACGTTTGTGTGTCTGTGTTTCCCAGCAGCACGAACAGCTACTGGATATTTCCTTCAATGGTGTTAACTATTATTTGGCTGATGTTTTGTATTGTTGTTACCAAATTGTCATTTTCACACTTAATGAAAATTGTTATAACTCTTTTAAGAGTGGATTAAAGGAATCAAAGAACAGCAACAACATTGCTGAAATAGTTCTTCTTTATTTTCAACTCATGGTATTTACCTAATTTAGGAAAATAAATGAATGTTGTTAGAATCTACAATACATTTTAATTGGATGTTTTATATACATACTTATCTGTTGAAGAATGCGAGTAAGATGTCTCCGGTGTATTCGATGCAATTTTGATAAAATTGTCTCTTAGAAACCTCCAAGTAGAATTTAGTATTGGATTTACACAGGATTGATTCCGTTCGTAATTCAGAATGTCCGGCTTTTCAATTTTTGTATAAACTCCGTTCGTTGAAAAAATGGAATGCAAACCTTCAAAAAGCAAAGAAATGTCAAATGAAAGAAAACTATAAAGGAAATCATTTTCTTATTATATTTTCATAGATCGAGAATTAATTAATATGCAGGGAATATTAAACGAAATTTCCCAATTTCAACGGGAATTTCTGAATATCAATTGCAATATTCTGATTTTTAAAATACTTTGGAATATCACATTAATTATCCGAACTTCAATAATGTATTTGATGTATTTCAAATAACATAGCGGAATTTCAAACATATTTTTTAAATGGTAAAAAACAAGAAAAAAACGTTAAGTTAGTTAGTTAAGCTGGAAAAGAAAAAATTTTTAAATAAAAACAAGTAACAAAGGTGTAAGTTTGAGTAACGAATTTCACAATTTAAAAAAAAATAAAATCCGTCAGAAAATCCTGTTAAAATCTTAAAAATACCCAATGTATCCGTCATACTAAAGTCCAAACGACGACGTGGACCTGCATAGGCAACTTTTGTCATAACAATATTCAAATGCGAAACTTGAAAAAAAAAATCATGGAATAATGTAGCTAAAATCATCAATATAGGGAGGTACTATTACATGGGGGCTATACCAAAATGTGGACCTGCACAAACAATTTTCTTCCTTCGGCTGCAGTATCCATTACGAACTTCAAATACCCAATTTAAAGCAGTTCAGTAATGCATTACAATCGTCAAAATACCAAATATAGGGAGGTACCGTTATATGGTGGCTATAAGAAGACGTGGGCCAGCACAGACAATTTTCTGTAATAGGCTGTAGTATTCATTACGAACTTCAAATTCCCAATTTGAAACAATTGCGGTGAATAATGTCGCAAAAACCATCAAAATTCCGAATATCGGGAGGTACCGTTATATGGGGGCTATACAAAGACGTGGACCTGCACGGATAATCTCCTCTCATATGCTGTAGTATCCATTACGAACTTCAAATACCAAATTTGAAACAATTCCGGTAATTAATGTCGCTAAAATAATCAAAATACCGAATATCGGGAGGTACCGTTATATGGGGCCTAAACAAAGACGTGGACCTGTCATATGCTGTAGTATCCATTACGAACTTCAAATACCAAATTTGAAACAATTCCGGGGCTATACCAAAACGTAGACCTGCATGGCCCATTTTCAATACTAAAAGTCCTGAAGACATTTTCGTTCAGAAGCTAGAGTGATTTCCACAGACGGACGGACATTGCTAAATCGACATAGAATTTTATGCTGATCAGGAATATATATATATATATATATATATATATATATATATATATATATATATATATATATATATATATATATATATATATATATATATATATATTTTGCGGGGTCTAAAATGTATATTTTGAGGTGTTACAAACAGAATGACAAACTTAATATACTCTCCATACTATGGTGGAGGGTATAAAAATCTATTCAATTTGGGCTGATAGTGTATATATGGTGGACAATAACCGTAAAATCGGATGAAGATGTATATCGAAGGTATATAAAAATCTGAACCTATCTCGATAAAATTTGGCAGAGGTATTTAATATCCGGCATCGAATATCCTTGTGGATGTGTGAAGTGCAAATTACACATGTGTGGGACTTTAGCACCAAATCGGATAAAACATATATATGGAAGCTATAGCTACATCTGAACCGATTTTCAGCAAAACTTGCTTTTTGGCTGAGCTCTGTCGGATGTGACGAAATTGAGTTCATTTGGTCAGATATTAGCCACTTGGTGCATAATTAACCCGAAATCGGTTAAAGATGTGTATGGGAGCTATATCCAAATCTGAACCGATCTTGACAAAATGCTAAGAATTTATTTTTGAGCTTGAAGCTCATTGTTGTGGAGTGTATAATACGCATCTGAGGGACTTAAAACTCCAAATCGGATGAAGCATGTGTATGGGGGCAATAGCTATATCTAAACCGATTTTCACTAAATTCGGTCTACTGCTTTTAGATTGAATTCGGTCGGATGTCCCGAAATTGAATGGATGATTTTTCATTAAAGACCCAAGTCCTTTCGTCTGGCCTAAGACTGATAAAACATTTGCAAAGTTTTAACCTAACTTTATCATTCTATAAGGTAATTGTTATACCCTCCACCTTGGAAAGGAGGGTATATTAACTTTGTCATTCCGTTTGTAACATCCTTAAATATTCGTCGTAGACCCCATAAAGTATATATATTCATAATCAGCATAAAATTTTAAGTCGATTAAAGATGTCCGTCTGTCTATATGTTTAAATCACGATACAGCCCACATTATTTGACGTAGAGCAATTTGTATTGTGTCTAGGATGGTTGGTATTGAAAATGAGATATATCGGTCCACGTTCTGGTACAGTCCCCATATAACGGTACCTCCCGATATTCGGTATTTTGATTATTTATGCCACATTTTTTCACGGATTTGTCTGAAAATTGGTATTTGTAGGTCATAACGGGTCCCTGTGCGTGTGGCAAAACATTTGGTATAGCCCCCATATAAAGGTACCTCACGATATTAGGTATTTTAATTTTTTTTTGCCACATTTTTTCACGGATTTGTCTATAAATTTGTATTCGTTGGTCATAATGGGTTCCAGCTCCGGTGGCGAAACATTGCATGTATGGGTCCATGATTTGGTAAAGCGCCCATATAACGGTACCTCCCGATATTCGGTATTTTCGGTGTTTTTGCCACATTTTTTCATGAATTGTCTAAAAATTGGTATTTGTGGGTGATAATGGGTCCTAGTTCGTGTGGCGAAACATTGTATGTATAGGTCCACGTTTTGATATAGTCCCCATATAACGGTACCTCCCAACATCTGAAATTTGGTAGTTGTAGATCATAATGGGTCCCAGTTCGTGTGGCGAGTCATTGTAATTATAGGTCCACGTTTTGGTAGAGCCCCCATATAACGGTACCTCCCGATATTCGGTAATTTGATGATACCAAATCTTGACTATACCACGATTTGGTATAGCCCCAATATAACGGTACCTGCTGATATTCTGCATTTTAATGGTTTTTGCCACATTTCTTCTAATGTTTACTTTACCCTAAGGTGGAGGGTATTAACAGTTTGGCCCGGCCGAACTAAATGTTTTTTTACTTGTTTTTTTTTTTAAATGTTGGTCTTTCGTGAGGGAGGTTCCAGAAGGAGTGGACCAATATATCACATTTCGGAACTCCATCTAAGTTTCGTAAACATAATAAGATGTACAAAGTGTAGACCAAATCGAATATTCCCTTGGAGAGTTGTCGTGCGCACCAGCCAGTCAGAAAGACGGACGAATGGATCGACTCCAAATGTCCTGAAACCGATTTCGCTCGGAGGCACTCAATCTTTTAAACCGTTACTTCGATGAGGCACATTTTGACCGTATCAAATGATATATACACTCTGTAGCTATATGGCTGAGGGTGTACAAAGTGGACTACCTGTCCACTTCGAATATAATAAACCCATATAGCTAAAAATGTTAATGTAACTACTTTTTTTTTTTTTTTTGTTTTTTTTTTGCATAATAAACAAAAATGGCAACAATATAAAGCATAATTTTAGGCGTAGTTCAAATATTCATACCAACTATGCGGTGTATTTAAAAATAAAACTAAGCCGGCCTAAAAATACTCTCAGCCAAATGTAATTTTTTACGTGATTTAATTTCCTCTGCTTTGATACTTTCCTAGAGAATTCAATGAGCCGAAAATGCATCTAAATATGCACATAGCTATCTGATCATTGGTATCCAAATGCCAGGCTATATTTCAATATTATTGTTGACGCAATACTCTGAATTGCTGTGATAAAAGTAATTTGTAGTCTTATATTTGGAACAATTCCGTTGTACGCATTTTACATTCATATACGCATCAATTTATATTTCAAAATTAAATTACCTTTCAGAGACAATCCTACAAGGTATATAATTTTGGTTTTATTATGTTCGGAATATAAGTTATTGACTCCTTTGTGTCTTCGACTACCTATTCCTTTATCCAAGGCGCTTTGCACCCTTCAAATTCATAGAATTTCGCAGGTTCTGGATCAGTGGAATCCTCAAATAAATCACAATCTCTAGCCCAGGCAGGACCTAGCTCTTGCGCCACCAGAACCTTTCTCCAAAAGTCAATCATGCGACGCAGTAGCAATTCATCTCTTACCCTGACAATCCATTCATTGTAAGACCATGGAGAATAGAAACAGGAATCATCTTTTAAGATTTTCAACAATGCAGTTGCCTTCTTCATATCTTCGTCAGTAGATTTGTTTTCAAACAACAGTTGCCACACAGTTGACTGGGCCGCTGTTGATATCTTATTCCAAATTCTATTCATCATGTCTTTGCTAACAATGGCATCTATTTTTAGTTTCTCTTGCAGAAGTTTCTCATAATCTTCCACTGGGGTTTCCAGGGATATGTTGGCTTCAAAGTGCTCAAAGTCAGCCGGTAGGGTAGAAGAGGACATCATGGACTTCGTTTCTTTTTGTGCAATGCAATATGGACGCAAGTTAAGTTGTAGTTATTATTTTATTTATATTATCAAAAGCTCAATTTCATTGTTGGCCACAGCCTAACAAAATTAAAAGCGCTCCAAATAGTTAAAAGAAAAAAAAAATAATGAGAAATAATGACGAAAAACAAATAAAGAACAAATTGTTGTTTACGAATGAGTGTGGGGCATAAGACCGAAATGCCACTTTATTTGCGAATGTGGGTATAGAGGGGACGCACAACAAGTTCTGTTTTTATCGATGCCTAAAATAATCGGAATTATCAGATCAATGTTTGTTGAAGAATAAAAATGGGGTTTAGAGAGTATTTGTTTGAATTATTATTTAAAAAATACGTTTAAGATAATTATTAGATCAGACCGACATGACGCTTTACGAATTTAGAGATTAAAGGGATGCAAAACAGTTTTTATTTTAATCGATACCTGAAATAATCGAAATTATCAGACCGATATACACTGAAGAATAAACATGGAATTTAAAGAATACTTTATAAATTATGATTTTAAAATGGGGTTGAAAGAATTAAAGAATTAGTAGCCCAATAAACCTGTTTTTTTTTAAATATCCTGAAAATAAAATAATATGAATATTTCGTAAAAAAAAAAATTGTGCCGATATATTTATAAAGTTATTAGACCGGACATTTAGGAATAAGTTTTATGGTATTAATAGATCAGTAAATATGAATTTGCAGCTTTTTAATAGTTATGGGGTTAAAAGGTTGTATAAAAACCCTTAAATGTTTATTTTTAAATGAGTTTTAGAAACAGCCAACGTGGATTTTTAAGGAATATTTTTGAAGATATATTTACACCAACCAACGTGGGTTTTTGGAAAATATTTTGAAGACATTTTTATAACAACCAAAGTGGAATTTTAAAGAACAATTTTAAATGAATAAACGTTGGTCTTTAAAGGAATTTTTAGAAAAAAAAAAAAGTGGATTTTTAAAGGGTATTTTAGAAAGGGTATTTAGACAACAAACGTGGATTTTAAATGGAACTTTTACATCCAAAAACGTGGATTTTTAACGAATATTTTTGAAAAAACTTTTAGACCAACTAACGTGGATATTTGAAAATATTTTTGAAGGAGCTTTTATACTAACAAAAGTGAAATTTTAGAGAATACTTTTAAAGGAATTTTAAGACCAACAAACGTGGATTTTTAAAACATATTTTTAAGGGAAAATATTTTTGAAGGAACTTTTAGACCAAGAAAAGTGAATTTTTAGAGAATACTTTTAAAGGAATTTTTAGATCAACGAAAGTGATTTTTTAGAAAATATTTTTAAGGGAACGTACACCAAATTTGAAAAGATTTTTGAAGGAACTTTTAGACCAACAAAAGTGATTTTTTAGAGAATACTTTTAAAGGAATTTTTAGACCAACTAAAGTGATTTTTTAGAGAAAATTTTTAAGGGAACTAACACCAAATTTGAAAATATTTTTGAAGGTTCTTTTAGACCAACACAAGTGATTTTTAGGGAATACTTTTAAAAGAATTTTTAGACAAACAAACGTGGATTTTTGAAGGAATTTTTAGTCCCACCAAAGGGAATTTTTAGAGAATATTTTCAAAAGAATTTTTAGGCCAACAAACGCGGATTTTTAAAAAATATTTTTTAGGGAACTTTAAGACCCAACAATTAAAAAAGGGGCTAAGTTCGGCCGGGCCGCACTTTTAATACCCTCCACCACTTAGACGAAACCTGAAAAATTTCAAAAAACTTCGGGAACTATACGAAGACGTAGACCTGACCAACAAACGTAGATTTTTGAAGGAATTTTTAGTCCAACAAAAGTAATTTTTTAGAGAATATCTTCAAATGAATTTTTAGGCCAACAAACGTGAATTTTTAAAGAATATTTTTGAGGGAACTTTAAGACCAAACAAGAAAAAAGGAGCTAAGTTCGGCCGGGCCGAACTTTTAATACCCTCCACCATTTCGAAGGAACTTGAAAAGTTTCAAAAAACTTCGGGAAACTACCACTTAAATGAAAACTGTTATATGGAGACTATACGAAGACGTGGTATGCTGACGAAATTTTTTGTCATAGGCTGTAGTACCATTACCAACTTCAAATACGAAATTTGAAACAATTCCGGTGAATAATGTCGCAAAAATCATAAAAATACCGAATATCGGGAGGTGCCGTTATATACGAAGATGTGTACCGACATGGCCCATTTACGAACTTAACCTGTCTACTGGTAAACTATGCATGTATGCAAAATTTTAGCCTTCCATCTTAATTTGTTCGACAGATAGCGTGACTTTATATTTGGCTGGAAAACCACAAGTGGCTATCGTTAGAGCACTCCAGCATTCAAATGTGAATAATTCTTTTGTGTCTCGTACCATCGTTCGTTACCGTGACGCAATCAGTAGCCCGACGTCAAGGAAGTGGACGGAGGGAAACAGCAACATCAGCAGAAATGGTTTGAAAAGTACAGAAGCGACTTGATCAAAAATAGCGCCGCCGTGGCCGAAATATGGCTCGTCAGCTTAACCAGCTATTCCATTCGGCAAATATTGAAAAATGAGCTCGGGGTAAAGCCATTGAAATTCCAAAAAGTGCAAGAATATACACCACAACAGAAAGAAAATAGACTCAAAAGAGCTAAAGAGTTGATTCGCTTGGCCGAAAGTGGTGAACTGCCGAATTTGTTTTTTTTTTTTCGATGGTAAAAAAAACATTTGGCTATTGGACATTCCAACAGAAATCAGCACCATCGCACTCAGCACGCGCCATCCAAGAATGGTTACAAAATGAGGTTCCTCGCTTCATTTCCAGCGCACAATAGCCACCAAAATCTCCGGATACCAATCCGTTGGACTATTGTGTCTGGAGAATTTTGGAAAGCAAGTTTGGCACTAAAAAATACCAAAGTGTCGATCACCTCAAGCAAGCGCTTCGCCGGGAATGGGTCAAAATGCCGCAGAGCAACATTCGGGCAGCGTGTGACGGTTTCATTGGCCGTTTGAAGGTCATAATTCGTGCCAAAGGTGACCAATTCAAACAAATCTAAACTTATTCTGAAATGTTATGCTATTTCCGAAATTTTTTGCTTTCATTCAATAAAATTTAAAGAAAAATTTAAAAATGATGGCGTTCGACTTTGTTGCAGTTTTTTTTTTTTTTTGTATATCCCCCCGTATCTCATATGAAGAATAGGAAGTAGTCGATATAGTCCAAATCTGTCACGCTGTGATATTTATATCAGTCTTAGGTCAGATACGAATCGTGAATGTTGGCTAACTGCTTCGGAACCTCCCCTGTAAAGGGTCAACTGTTTGAATAACCGTAAGTCATGGCTGGGGGTATACATCTGTCGGCAAAACCGACTGATACAATGTTATTTATTTTAAAAGTTTTTTTAGACCAATAATGAGAATTTATAAATTATGATTTTGCGGAGGATTTTGAGTTAATCAAAAATCATGTATCTTTAAGTTTTTTTATGTGAAACAATTATTTAATAGTTTTTTTTTTTTTAATTACTTTCAGCTGTTCGGTATCCCATGGCCTAATATTCTTATTTTTACTAACATTTTCTTCGTTTCTATTAACAACCATGATAGACCCGGCTTCATATCTTAAAATTTCAAAATTCAGATTTTTAACGGCTGCGCATTTAATACCGTTTTTAACGGGTTGCCATGTCATTTGGGTGTTACACCCAGTAACTATAGCCATAGCAACTCTGTGTTTTTAGCCAAGCAACCGCTACCATGTGTATTTTTTTTAGATACACGATACAAATACCAACAACAACCACATCAATCTACTACCATTGTTAAAACAACAACCTACCCACATACATAACAAAAACACACCAACCAAACCAGCAGTTGCTTTAGGAACTGTGTTAAACGCGTAACGTTTGTTCGTCCGTTCGCTGGCTCGCTCGTTCCGTTCATTTCATTTTCGGAATCTGTTGAAATTCTAGTTTTGTTGTGTTATTTTTTCGGTTGTTTTAACAGTGTTTTTTCATTTGTCTTTTTTTCTTAATTGTTGCTATGAGTCATAAAAGTTAAAAGTTTGTGTTGCATCCACTTTGTTTGAAAACAATTAAAACTGATTTAAATTGAAATCATTAGTGAAGGCAAAAAAGGTATTTAACGCAACAAAAGTGCCCCATAAACCGAATTGAATTGTTTTATAATGACGACTCACTCACACGTAGTGGTCGAAAGTGACTCGTCTGTTGTTGATATTTGACTCTCTGTGTTTTTTATTTTTATTGTTTGTGGTTAGTTTGGCCTTTTTGATGAGAAAGTAGCCAAGCATATTCTAAATAAAAAAACGAGATACAAAACTTACGTATATCTACATGTATTTATATAAATGTTATAACAACAACAACAGTAACCACACAAATACGGTTACTTCTAATGATACACAGCTGTGTAAAGATGCTTGTGTGCGAATGTAATTAGTTATTGTTATACGATATCTGTGTACGACTGATGTGAAAACAACTTTCATTAAAAGCTGCAGGGAAACGTGGTTTAAGTCCTTAACAAAAAAACATATGTTTGGTGGCGCCCAATAGATTTTCAAGTCGATGTCATAGAGAACAAATCAGCAATCATAGCAAAATTTTAACCGTCTTAAAAACAGAGCAAATGTTTACAATTTCATGTTCGATGGGGCTAAGCTTTTATTAAACGGAAACACTCAAAAATTTTGTGTGTATTTTAATATGGAAAATCAGAATTCTCGCTGTCAGAAAAATCTACGATTCTCAGTAGATTTTGTTATATGGCGCCCAATACCTGGATACGTGGACCTGCATATGCAACTTCTGACATAAACCATTGCAATATTAAAATGCGAAAAAAATCGTTGAATAATGTAGCTAAAATCATCAAAATACCGAATAAAGGGAGGTACCATTATATAGGGTATATACCAAAACGTGGACCTGCGCAGACAATTTTCTCTCATAGGCTGTAGCATCCGTTACGAACTTCAAATACCAAATTTGAAATAATTCCGGTGAATAATGTCGCTAAAATCATCAGAGTACCAAATATCGGGAGGTACCGTTATATGGGGGCTATACGAAGACGTGGCCCTGCACAGACAATTTTCTGTCATAGCCTGTAGTATCCATTACGAACATCAAATACCAAATTTGAGATAAGGCAGGTGAATAATATCGCTAAAATCATTAAAATACCGAAAATATGGAGGTACCATTATAGGGGGGCTATACCAAAACGTGGACCTATGTAGACCATTTTCAATACCAGAAGTCCTGCAAACATAATATACATTTGAGTAAAATATTAATAAGCTACTTCATTTCGTTCGGAAGCTAGAGAGACTTCCACGTACGGACATCACTAAATCGACAAAGAATTTTATGCTGATGAAGAATATATATATATACTTTGTGGGGTCTAAAATGTATATCTCGAGGTGTTACAAACTGAATGACAGACTTTACATGCCCTCGTCATTAGGGTATAAAAAAACAAAGCCCTCAAACCTTTTTATGTTTTTATGGAAACCAGTAAGGAAAAGTCAAAAGTCGAGCGGTGCCGCCTATATGATACCCTCCACCAACATGCATATTTAGGAGAGCTCCCATAACAAAATAATTTATTTGAAGTAGATCATACCACCTATCAACATTTGGCTTTAGAACAGTTAGAGTTTGGTTGCAGAGGAAACTAAAATACATATGATAGGTATATCTAATTCTGAATCGATTTTCACTAAATTCGACGGAGACATTTTAATCTTTTATACCAAATAACATTGCTTTGGGGTGCATGATATTAGGTTTATATTAAAATATATATATATATCGGAGCCGAGTTCCACCAAATGGAAACGTACGTCCCGAAATTCAATCTATTTTGGGCTGATATCAGCCATTTTTTGCACAATAAAGCTGAAATTTTTTAAGGATATATGGGAGCTATATCCTAATCTGATCAGATCTTGATACAATTCGGCAGAGGTATAGCTGGGTTGTATCTGATATCTGGTACCATATATCATTGTTGTCGAATGCATATTACGAATGTGAGGAACTTAAAGACCAAATCGGATGAAACATATATATGGGAGCTAAATCGATTTTCACCACATTCGATGTACTTGCTTCTAGCCTGAATTCGGTCGGATGTGCTAAAATAAAGGTCATATGGACTGATATTGGCCATTTAGTGCACAAAAAACAAATCAGATAAAGATATACCTGGGAGCTATATCCAAATCTGAACCAATCTTGACAAAATTTTAAACAGTTAATCCTGAACTGTATCTGATATCTGTTACCAAAGATTATTATTGTGGAGTGCATATCACTCATGTGAGGGACTTAAAACCCCATATCGGATGAAACAGATTTTCACCAAATTCGATGTACTTGTTTCTAGGCTGAATTCGGTCGGATGTGCTAAAATTCAGGTCATATGGACTGATATTAGCCATTTGGTGCACAATTTACCCGAAATCGGTTGAAGATATATATAAGAGCTATATCTAAATTTCAACCGATTCTCACCAATTTCAATAAGGTTCGTCCTTAGGCCAAACAAACATTGTTTGGAAAATTTCATCTCAATCGGATAATAAATGCTTCCTGTGCAGCAAATACTTGCATACTCTCAGTGAAAGAAGTGTCAAAATTGTTCTCTCAAATCGCTCTCTTTTGAAGAACTTTTGTGTTAACAGATTTCCAGAACAAATTTGCAACAATTGTTAGAAATTTTAGAATAATCAGACACACCTAATAAAACATGTCTATTGGTTTAATGCGGCCTTAACACCTCAATGACCACTCGTACTGGAGTTTTAAGTTAACAACATGCCATTTTTGACACAATGTGAGGTAGAAAATGGCCTCTAATTATACATCTTCAATGCAAAAATAAATGCGTTGCTTATTTTGGATTATGACATTATTTGCTTTAAAAAATAAGCTATGGTATGCTATCTCTTCTACTTTTTTTATTTGTTTTGAAAACAAAAATAAAATATCTTACAAAGGCGTTATGCAACAACTTGAGGTTGCAAGCCACTCGAATCAAGAACACTGCTGCAAGAGATCCTTGAATATGTACATACTATGTGTGGTACCTTCCATCAGTGTACAGAGGGGGGCATGTGTGGCAATTATTAAGACAATGCTGTAAATAAGTGGGAAGAAATATCATCACAACAAGCAGTCGCATGCAGAAACTTTGGATTAAGGTCTACAAGACAATGATGGTAGCCTGTGGACAATAAATTAGTGTGTGGGTATAAAAGAAGGGCGTGATAATGGAGGGCTTTTGCCGTCTATGGATTGGCTTCCAACAGCATTGAATATAAAAACAAGTAAAAAAGCAGCTAAGTTCGGCCGGGCTGAATTTTAATAGCCTCCAGGAACTTAAAAAAAATCCAAAATCCATTGGAATGATTACCTTCATATGGGAGCTATACGAGGATGTGGACCTGCATGAATATTTTTTTTTTTTTTTTTTTTTTTTTGTCATAGGCTGTTGTACCCATTAAGATCTTCAAATACTAATAATGTCGCTAAAATCATCAAAATACCGAATAAAGGGATATGCCGTTATATGGGGGCTATAAAAAATATTCTCTAAAAAGACATTGAACTGCGAACGAAATTTTTAGACATAGGCTGTAGTACCCATTACAAACTTTAAATACAAATTGATGTTCCTCGTTTCATTTCCAGCGCACAATGGCCACCAAAATCACCGGATACCAATCCGTTGTACCATTGTGTCTGGAGTATTTTGGAAGGCAAGCTTGGCACTAAAAAATACCAAAGTGTCGATCACCTCAAGCAAGCGCTTCGCCGGGAATGGGCCAAAATACCGCAGAACAACATTCGGGCATTCATTGGCCGTTTGAAGGCCATAATTCGTGCCAAAGATGACCAATTCGAACGAATCTAAAGCTATTCTAAAATTGATGCTATTTCCCACATTTTTCAAAAATTAAAAAATTATGCCGTTTGACTTTGTTGCAGTTTTTTTTTATCTCACACTGTATGTAGGGAAAGTAAGCAGACAAACCAAATATTTATACCTTTAATTTGTTATCCCTCTCCCCAGAAAATCATGGCCTGTTTCTAATTTTGAAAGAAAGTGTAGGCGTTTCCCCCAAAATCATATTAGTGTAGCAATAAATTACTGATCTTCTGCCAGCATTTCATTGAGCCACAATGTACCGTGGGCCATAACACACTTTCAACGCGCCCTCCCCCTCGCCCCAAGAAAAGGTTACACTCTTTTTGAATTTCCATTAACCAGAACGACAAAATTATCATCTTCTTTGCTTTCTACCAAACTATTATTTCCTATCTTCGTTTTCCTCATTTATTATGTTCGTATGCATGTATGTAGGTCTGGCTGGTTGGCGGTGGCACACGTTTGTCGTACATGGAGACATAACAATAATAACGTCAGCTGCTTAACATTAAATAATTCAAATCAAGAAAGGTGTTCGGGAAAATTTGTGGCAAACGGAAATCAAGTTTCCGCTTGAGGTACTCCCGTTGGATATGCATGCATGTTCAATTATCTATATACAGAGAGCAACAACAACAACAGCAATGACACATACATACGCTTATTACGTGTACTCCAAAAAAAAAAAGTCCAATGGAAACAAAAAAGAAGACACCGTCGTCGCCAACATTCAAATTAACCATTCATTGTCCGCGACTATGACTTGCACTATATCGAACATATGGGGTGTTAAAGCGTACCCGGGGGCACGTACAGTTTTATCATTTCATTGGAAAAAAGAAGATAAACAAATGTCTGTTATTTGATCAGACAATCAATCAATGTTCTTAATGAAAAATATTAATAATAATAACAATTGTTGCCATAGTTCTTCCGTTGCTGATTTTCGAATGCTTTCGAAATGTTTGTACGACGCCAAACATTATCTTTCCGTAAAACATGCATTTAATTTTCGGGGGAAGACCTTAATTGAAAAATTATGTTCTTAAACACAATAAAGATACGGAACTATTGCAGGTGGCACAATTTGGTTTTGTGGTTGCGCATGACATTGTGAACGGGTTTCTATCATGAATTCATTGAATAATTATTTAAAGGTAATTGCAAGTGCTGG